CATCTTCACCTAGTCCTTATCAAGAAAGTTTGGTTACTTGAGGAAGAAACTTGGGGTAAAATCTGTGCATGACTTAAAGGGGATGTTGAAATAAAAAGGGTTCTTTTGATATAGGCCCTTCAAACTCCTATTTTCCAAACAAAAACCCACCTAATTTTAAACATTCAAATAAAACCCAAGTTTCAAATAGACTGCCATGTAGACAAATATGTAACCAACTATTACAACGCATATACAATTTATGCCACAAAATCCTAATTTGGTCAATAAATGTTATTACTCATCCTAATTATGATGAGCAATTAAACCCATATGGATATTTACCTTTCTTGTATCATAAATATTAGTAACATATATATAAATTACTTTACCATATTAAAAAATAGACATATCCCGTACGAAAAAAATAATATTGTTTGAATCATGTAATTACATACATATAAATTAATATACCTACTTATAAAATATTATACTAATTTACCTACTTTAATTTACCTATTCCAAAAGAAAAATATTAGTGATAATAGATAATGTTTGAATGTTGTGGGTTTGTGCTTGTAGGCAATTAAATAAACTTGAAATCCAATGGACATAAGTCATATAGGTAAATTAGACTATTCTGTTTGTGTGACAACCCGTTCCAAATTTTATGTTTTTATTTTATTTTAAAAGCGTGAATTTACGAAAATGTCATAGAGACAAAGATTTTGACTTATGTTGACCATCGTCTAGAGAGACGTATGACTTATTCTTTTAACATATTCTCGTAGTACTTGTTGGTGTGAACATATCGGCGAAAGCCGTTTACAAGTCCGGATTATAACGGTATAGTTATGGACGTTTGAAATTGGTTATTTAAATATTTGAATTCCCACCTTGTGGGATTAGTGGACCAATTAAATTAAAGGGACAAGGAACCAATTAGAAGAGAGGAGGAAAGCCTGCAGCCAATCAGAAAGAAAGAAGAAAAAAAAAAAAATGGGAAAGCTTCCCGTGCCCGACCTGTGTGACCACCCATTTTCCAAGGACGATTCCGGCCAACTCCGATGGAATTTTTCGACGCCACCACCACCATATTGAAGCTCTCATTCCCCTCTACAAAACCCACCAAGAACCACCTTGATTAACCATGGTATGTGGCTGTTTGAGGCCACGAAAGTTGGCGGTTCTCACGATGCTCCGGGCACTCTTTTTTATTTTCCGGCAAATCGGCAAAGTGATGGACGATGCCACCACTTGGGCTTTGTAGCCCATCATCCCAGGAGCAAAACCCAACCAACCTTGACCCCGTTGGACCACTGTAGAAGAGGAATCAACACCGGGAAGTTTTAGGCACCCGCCGGCTTTGTGGGCAAAATTGACCATCTTCCATCCACTTTTGGACTTCGTGGCAGGTATGAAAGTTGCTCCACTCACTGAGATCTTCATTTCTATGAAGTTTGAGAATTTTTGGAAATAGTTGGATTTTTCGACGAGTCGGGGCAGCGCGTGGCCAGTGAGCCGCCAATGCTATTTTTAGGCTATGTCGAATGTCTTGAATTCAGTTTTGTCATTTGAATGACGTAGGTTGATCGTTGGAACCTAAATTCGTTACGATACGTTACTTGATAAAAATGTGAATCGACGATCCGACCGTTGGATCATCACCAAAATTGGATACATTATAATACGTAATATTTAAAGATCATAGGAATTTATGGATCGGGAATTTGACTTACGGATCTTCCTGAATTGGATTTGTAAGTTAGTAAAATAAATGTTCACGACCACTTGTTTTAGGCAATTGGCGGAAATTTGACCGTTGGATCGTAATGAAATTTTAATATGTTATTCTAGAAACATATTGTGGATCGTTGGGAGTTGTGGATTGGAAATATGATATGCGGATCTTTCGGGTCGAGTTATACAGGGTTGTAGACCCTACCGTCGATCTTTGATCGACTGTTGACTTGTGGTCAATGGGTCTCAAACTATTTTAGAATGCCCTTGAGGTTGTGTTGTATGTGAATTACGTATTCTACGGATAAGAGTTCTAAGATATAATTTGATAATTGGTCACAAGGACCAATCATTCAGGACGCCTCGATGCGTGCACTAGAGAATCATAGCGTGGACTCCAGGTGAGTGGATCTTTTCCTTTTTATCGTACATATTATTGAGAGTTCTATCGGCACTTTTAAATTGATTAGGTATATTACCTTCATATATAATTATTGTGAATGCTTGAAGTACTATATGAACTATGAATGGCTTGATCCCTGTTTAGGATACGTAGGCAGTCTAACGAGACGTTAGATGCAGCCATAATATATTTGAGACAAAAGCCTTATTTGGGAAATTGAGTAATGCGAAGGAAATTGGTAAAGGAAAGTTTTAGTTTTGTGAATTAGTTAGTTAAATTAGTGTTAATTGGGTTGTCATGGATAATTACTCCTGAAAATAAGTAGTTCGGGAATAGGGCGTTATTGATTGTACATTTCACACCGTATTGTTTATAATTGAAAATGTTACGACATGGTTGAGTATTAGATTGCATCATGGTATATCCATATGTATATTACTTGCATATAATTATTGGGAATGCTTTCAAGTGCAAAGGTGAACACAGGACACCCAGGTAAGTTCAAGTGAGTTTATGGTATTAGTTGAATCAATTGCGTTATACCATGACTACATTTATGTGTTAGGCAACTCCGATATTGTCGTACTGGTTGCCATGAGTTACACATGTTATATTGAGATGCATTGAGAGCTCATAAACCTGCACCCCGGTGTTAGTGCTCCCGCCCGTGGTCAGGGCACAATCCTTCACGTGATGTTCACCTCTCGCACCTTACGCTCACCTTGGACTCAAGGTAGGTGCACAGGCTTGTCGTACAGACCACTATAGGTGGTTTCGACTCGTAGGTGACCCGCGATTATTCGCCCAGTTTTCAAGTGATCGTAGCACTTAAGCGTACTTATTTACACCTAGTCATGTCGTACAGACCACTAGAGGTGGTTCCGACTCATGTACAGGGATGTTTGATGAGCTATAGATTAAGTCGTACAGGTCACTATAGGTGACTCCCGACTTGTATGCTAGTATTGATTGATGAGATATGGATACTTGCACCCCGGTGTTAATGCTCCCGCCCATGGTCAGAGCACAGTCCTTGACGTGATGTTCACCTCCCGCACCTTACGCTCACCTTGGACTCAAGGTAGGTGCACAGGCCTGTCGTACAGACCATTATAGGTGGTTCCGACTCGTAGGTGACCCGCGATTATTCGCCCAGTCTTCACGTGATCGTAGCACTTGAGCATACTTATTTACACCCAGCCCTGTCGTACAGACCACTAGAGGTGGTTCCGACTCGTGTGCAGGAATACTTGATGAGATATGGATAAGTCGTACAGGTCACCAGAGATGACTCCCGACTTATATGTTAGTATTGATTAATGAGATATGAGTACAGTCGTACGAGTCACGTTAGGTGATTCTGGCTGATGTATCATTTTATATTGATTAAGTTCATTTGGCTTACTTGTTAATGCATTGTAGAGTCTATGGACATGGCATACTCATGGTTTTGGTCATTTTTGAGCATAGTTGGATATATATATGTGTGTGTTGTATTGTCCTATAGAAAACGATAAGGGAATTACAGTGAGGGGTTATTACTGATAGAAAGGTAATAGTTTTGGGAAGCTTGGTTTTACTATTTACTCATACTTTTTGTTTTGTACCCCCTTCAGGTTTTAACTGCTGAGTTCGTATCGACGAGGATATATGGCTAATCTTAGTATTGGTGGCTACTTTTAAGGGTATGATTCTTACCCACATTACTGTACTTTACTTCGTGTGAAATGGGTTCGCTCCCACTCGTAGCGCACTCTGGTATTTAGGCACTGTTAGGTTCAAATTTATTCACATTTTATACACTATCACATTTTATGGCTTCGTCACCTTCCAGGTGTCAGCCAACACAACTCGATTTGGGATCCTAGTGGACATTCCGGGTCGGGGTGTGTCAGTTTGTGTGGAACATATAGCTTTTGTTTTGTGCATTAGGGATTGGAGTATATATGCAATAACCGAAGTTGTTTTAGGTCTATTGTTGTGTTTGTAGGTAAATTAACTTGTATATTTAATGTACAAAATCACAAAATTAGTATTATTATTTTCCAATCGGCACCTTATAACAATTTGAAAGTTTATACAATGAATATACAATGAGCATGAAATATTTTGTAAAATAAATATAATTAATTAAATTGATATAACAAGTAACTGATCTAAAAACCCAATCCAAGCATTAAAGGGTAGTTTAGGCATCTGGAAAATACACAATTTGAAAAGTCCAATTTAATTAAAGAATTTGCTTAGTGAAGCCTAGTCAATGACCTTTAGTCAAGAAAACAAAAGGAGATGGGTTTTAGTTACGAAAAATCTAATTTCAAGGAGTAATGTCAAATTTTCAAAAATAAAAATCCTACTCAGATTTTACACAAGCAATTATGTTATTGGAGAGTTCTTTTATTAGCTCATAAGTAATGTAATGGTTCACTTGGCATTAGTTCATCGGCTAGTTACAATGGAGGGCTGAGATTGATTGAGTTTGTTATCTCTCTCTCTCTCTCTCCCCCTCCCCTCCAACAGTTATTTTTGTACTGATGTCGAGCTCACATGCTTAGTGTGATGAATAAATCCAAGCAGCAAGAGTTACATTCTCTCTGCAACAAACCCTCTGTGTATTCATCGATCCCTTCTTCATTTTCATATCATACAAGAATCATAGCTTATAATTTGAATTACATTTCTAGTAATCTGAGTTTGAATTCTACGCAACTTATGTGACCAAGTGAAGGTCTATATAACTAATTGGCCATCTATATAGCAATGGCTACGTCAAAAAAGGAGCACAATGCCGTAATCTGTGGCCTCATTGACAACTATATCCGTTGAAGGAACCACCAAAAGTCACCACTTGTCTGTTGGTACTAAAACCAATATATGTTCACCATTGAGGAGGTCCTTCTAGTCGAATATAATCATACATGACGCCGTCGAAAGAGCCCAATCTTCTTGACTGTGTAAGAAAGATGGTGTTGTTTCCTTCTTGTAGTCGATAACTTGGTACAATAATACTGAACAACCAGTACAAACCATGAATTCCATGTCTTGCTATGGCATTGTCCTTCCCTATTAGTCCTGTCGTAAAGTGAGGTGGTTTGGCGCTCTGGTTGTTAAATCGAACCTGGTTGAATCCCATTGTCAAAGACACAAATAGCCAAGGAAAAAAAAAAAGAGAACTTTAACGAAAAGCTTTCGGTACTGTTCATTTTAACGAAAAACCACATTATTACATTAAAAAGTCAATCATGGTACTATTCACTTTACCCTTTATTTTATCTTTAAAATTCAAAATTTTCAAATCATTTTCATTAGTTTTCCGAAAAAAAAAAACTATACTAAAACCCTGTCATTTGCACATTGTTTAGCATTTTCTGGGGATTTAAACGATACCTGTACTTCTGCATTGTTGGCTGAGGCCAATGCCAATTGGAGTGTATAATTTCCGGTAGTAGTCAAATTCTTAAGTTGAAATAAAATTTGCCATGTGGTTGCTTCATACGTATTATTTCCAGTGTTCCTGCAATGCCTGAATAAATTAAGAGTACCTACAAATCTAAAAAAGCAGAGGCATTGTTCTCATGTTAGGTTAAGTTAGAACAATGAAGTACCTTGTCACATGAGCAAAAAACCACTTGTCATGGTAATCGTCAGCACCAACGGTGTAGATGAGATCATGGTTAGGGTATAAATCTGTATAGCGATCCCACAAGCCGTATTGCCTAAACCTATAAGCAATATAACCTTATGTAAGCATACAAACCAATTGCTAAGAGTACTCGAAAAATTGCAGTTTGATAATGTGCTAAACTATCTATCAAGAGAACATTTCCTCTCTAGTAAAACAAAATACGACTGCTATACGAAAACTAACTTGTCCGTGTGATTGGTGTATAATTGGTTCCTAAGAGTTGGGGACGGATCAGGTACATTGAACTCGGCAGCTGATCGATCTGGGATGCCAATTTCCCACAGGGTCGGACCATTTCTTGGAGGTACGTAAGTTATATTGCCCAGATTAATTCCACGTCCTGCATATATAATTCAGTGATGTGAATATCTAGTCCGGAAATACTGTTCTGTATTGCATTAATCATTGGGCATCTTGAATTTCTTCATTCACGTTTTGGACCAACAAAAACACGAAAGAGGTTTCTGACATACTCTTTCATTTCCACCGCACTTCAGATTATACTAAAGAAACAAAAATTAGAAATCGAAAGTATAATTATAATTTTTTGTTTATAATTTCAAATATATATATTTATTTTGAAAAGATAACTTACTTGGTTTAATTTTAATAATAGTTTCATATTTGTAATCCCCAACAACGCCGGGAACTGTTGCATACAAACTATAGTTCCCAGGTCGAACGTCTTTAATGAGGAAATAACCTTGCTTGTTAGTTTGAGTCCAAAATTGATAACCCTGAAACGAAAAGTATGCAATAAAAAAATTATGTTTCAGTTAAGGAATGATTGCAAGAAATGTCTTATATTAAAATCTCGTAGATGGCGAGTTCGATACCAATTTATTACCTACAGCCTTGAGTGTAAATATTTCATTAAATAAAAAAAGGCATAAGTTCACAACAAATGGAGGTACTTTTTGTTTGTTTATGGCTCAATATTGAGAGACCCGTCCATTAACACCAAAGAAGACATTTGTGTTTCACCAAAGAAAAAATCTCAAAAGTTACCTTGCTTTCCTTTTGCCATGATCCCACATTTCCAGGTGCTGCCAATCCCACGTAAGCGGAACTTGCCCAAACAAGGCTCTCGTTGATGTACCTAAACCAATATCAGTTTTTATAGTTACATTCAAACTCTTGAAGGGAAAAAATTTAAATATTCAAACGAGGAACATACCGATCTTGTATTAGTAACTGGCCCGCAACTGATCCACGTTTATCCGATGATGGAAAATCTTCAGATTGAGTGAAATTGTAAGGCCATCTTTTGACTTCTTCAAGCATCTATTATAAAATTTTCTAGTCGTTATAAGTTGAATAATAGTTACATGAATCATGCACTTCAATTAGTGCATTATTACTTATCTTCTGGACGTTGGGAAAGGCACTGTTCGAATATTTACTACCCGAATGAAAAATGAAAAGAGAAATGGTTGAAGAATGTTGGGGTGAAGTAGCCCAATTACTTATAAGTACATGCAAGATTTCTTCTTTTCTGATTTAGGATTGCTACTCTCAACAATGATTGCCTATAACATAATATTAATTAGTAAATACCTGTTCTTTAGCATTTTCCCAGAGTCTGAGGGAATTATTTGAGCTTGGAACTGAATTAAGATAGACAAAGACAGGCCCAAAAACCTTCTTCCATGCCTCCCCATCTTTGAATGTCATCCCAACTTCCTTCCCACCATAATGAGTACTAGCAAACATCTATTGGATCAGGTGAATTTGATCACAAGTTATTAAGTTCCGTCACCGAAGATATGGATATGCCAATAATGGTAAGAAGAAATATTAGATGAGTGGACATACAGAGAGCACAGTTGGACCCGCATGTGAGGTAAGGTCTTGTTTGAAAGGCCCGGCTGTACGAAACTCATCACTTGATGTAATTATCCAAAACCCTACAGGTGGTTCATTACAAATCCAACCATGAACTTTGTTGTCTTTGTCCTCAGTTGAGTATTGGTACTTGTCATCTACCTGCAACAAACATAAAAATTACAATAACAAAAATGAAATATCATATTCTCAGCAAAAGAAGAAAAATAATCGTAAAAGTGATGCTAGGTTAAGTGGTACCTCTCCTCGAAGGTCAGGATTGCTTGTTTTGGTTAAAAGGACAGCTTCAGGGTAGGCAAGGGGCTTGCCATTTGCACGGTCTCTGGCTGTTGGCATGACTCTTTTTCTGTCGTCTGATATAGCCATGAATGGAAATCTGGAATTGAAAATTTTCATAATAATTAGTCAAGAGGTTTCAATCCCTTTACAATTTGATAAGGTTGAAGAATTGTGTCAAACTCTGATAACAATATATAGTGTCCATAGTGTCCATTTATCATTAACCTGACACACTACATTGATGTATTACAGATTTTTTGCACTTTTCACACGTACTTGTCTTGTTGAAGTTTGTATACAAATCTAATTTGATCCACATTAGTTCTGGGCCACCCCTTAAGACGCTCAAATATTGCGTAGGCATAAAACCCATCATGACCACGTTGCACTATGTATCTGCAACAAGAATTTAATGTTAAGTTTAGAGAACTTTGAGCATAAAGTTTGATGAACTGTTTTGGTTGTTATTGACACTCTAAAATTGTACTTCATATTGGTAAAAAAAAAAATTAAAAAATAGCGAGAAGTGCATAATAAAACTCCTTATTGGGAAAGATTAGAACCGTACCTTTTGTCAGCATTCATGGGAAGTGTAGTATTACCGAGGGAAACATTATATGTTTTAGTAAAAGAAATCTCTATTTGGTCGGCCCTCTCTGTAATGACTCTAAATCCAGTTCCTTGTAGCCTGCAAATGAGTTATGGACGTAATTTTAGTCAATATCGGAATGATTATCTACTATGCTAGGTAGAAATGGAAGGAAGAGGGCTTACTTGTCCACCACATCTTTACCTCCATCTTTGTTCCAGACAACGTCCCAATACCTGTATTATAGGTTTGACATATATCAAAGTTCAAACAATGTGCAAATTATGCATGTATTCAGTAAACAAAAGAAATCAGTGCTGATATTTGTATATCGAAGATGTAAGATTGTGTGCTTACCCTCGATTATCTAGCGCATTCTTGGTTTCAAGCAAGTTTTTAATTCCCTTGTAATTGATTCCAATGACGTCTCCTCCGGGATAAGAAAATTTGAGTCGGACAATGCCATTATCGATCACCACCTAAAAGACAACATCCTTGAGAGAACTGACGTGAAAACATTTATATAAAAATAAAAATAAAAATAAAAAAATAAAAAAAAATAAAAAAGAAGAAGATAGGGAAAGCAAGAGAAAGAGTTCGCTGAACTATGAGAAACTTTTTGTCATCGAAAGACAGTAACAATGTTGATCAAGCTAACAAATAGTGATTGCACTTTACCTGGTTCTTAGTCTTTGTTAGCATCGGATTGACCCCGGTATCTGCCCCAGTAACACCCGCTTGTAACCTTCTGTAATTACACTAAATATATTAATTTCATTATAATTCTTATAAATCAATAATTCACCCCAAACAAAATAAAACCTAAAAGAGAAAGCCTGACTATGGGGCAGTAGTTCGTAAAAAGGTAAAATAGAAAGTGTGGCAGGATTGAGTGGTTGATTTTCTTGAAGAGAAGGCGATTGAATTAATACTCAAATCAAGTACAATAAGAATCATCAAGAGGACATCCTAAATGACATTAGGAGGATATAATTTCAAATGAGATTGCAAGAATATGTTGATGAAGAATTCAAACTTAAAGAAGCACCTGAAAATGTAATATGGGCCAAAAATAAAATTTTGAGAGCATATGTATTGGGAAAAATATCATTTATCGGTCATCATGGAAATTAACTATCTATAACAAAAACAAAGCAGAACTTTTTCGAGACAGTTTATTTGTACAGTATTCTGAAATAACAGATATATGGCTGCTCAGAGCTCATCACCTTTTCTCAGACATAATATCAACATTAAAATGACAATGCATGAGTCTCTATTGCAGAGATGGGTTGCACCGTTGCACTAAACAAGAAAGAATAATGAGAAGGGATAGAGGAAGGACCTTACTGGGGTCTTCTTGAAACCATCACCATGCATAAACAACAAAATGGCAAGCATTGCTAATGCCCCAATGATCCAACTCCATTGCCTTACCTTCTCCATCTTCTATTAACTGCAAATGTTTAAGAAAAAAAATACCAAAAGACATGCACATATATATAACACAAACAATACAAAAATACTGCATGGTATATGGAACTTCCATCAAATTTTTATTGGAACTCAGCTAGCCACATTCTAAAAATAACGGTTGTAACTTTTTTTTTTTTGTTGAAACAGTTTTACCTTGGTTAACGGAAACAAAACAAAACAAACAAAGATTTTACTTGTTTTGTCAAACAGTTGACAGATTTGTTTATCAAATGGATCTGTTTACATCGCCCTCAAAACTGGGGAGACGGCCACCAAGTAGAAGCATAAGAGGCCATGGCGTGGGCAGACATATTACACGATCTTGGTGTGAAATGAAAACTAATAGTTTCCACCATGGTAGTTAAAGTTTGGAAATTATGTATAAGTCCCTTCAAAGTAACGTCAACCACCCTTTTATCTTGAATAGTCTCAACAAGCTTTGGCACATCTGATTCCACAATTAACTTCCTCATCCCATGTTTGAGCAGAAAATGTTGAGTACAACAACCAATCTTCAATCCATGTTAAGAAATACAACGACACTATCTCCTCTTGCCAACAATGAGGAGCGGAGTACCCTACACAAGAAAAAATCTCGACAATCAACACTACAAAAAATAACCTTTTCAAGACGAAATAATTTCATCGAGCCAAAGTGGTTCCATCGCCTAGTTTTTTGTCCGAAGAAAATTTGTTGGGCAATTTTAGTGGGGCAAACACCGTCACTCAAATGTTTGCATGAATATTGAAAATTTGTTGGGCAAATATTTAAGGTGTGTTGACTAACTTGGCCCAACGAACCAAATATTTCAAGAAATAAAAATTTAAAATATTTTGCCCAACGAAACGGTTGTTGTTCAATTAATTTCAAGCAAAAAAAAAAGTACAAAGTACAAGCTTTAAGAAAGAAATCATCGGCCAAAAGTTTTAAATTTTTTTAAATAATTCGTGATTTAAATTATAATAATCTCAAAGGAAATCACAATATTTAAAATATGTATTTGGTTATATTAAAACTAAAATGTTCATACAAATGTATGTAAAACATCCTAAACTAAAATGTATGTAAAATATCCTAAACTAACTACTGTTGGGGTGGCTTGTGGTGGTAACATAGGAGTTAAAGTGGATACAACTTACGTTTTTGATACTTTAAATTGGTCTTTTCTATTACGGGTACTTACTAATTTTGGCTTTTACACTTGTTTTATGAACTAGTATCTAATATCTCGACATGTGTTAAATTGTCCATCTTAATCAATGGTTCCCCACATAAATTTTTCTCTTTTCTTTTGTTTTCAGGGAATGCGTCAAGGGGTCTGAGTCGGTTTCAACTTGATGGGCTTACTAAGACAAATTTTGCTCGAACAGGTTATATTTCTTATTCTCATGTACTTTATGCAAGTGAACTATTTAGTTTTTGCATAAATATTGGTGTCACTTTGCTTAATCTGCAAGGTTTCTTAGATAGATATAGTAGGGACTCTACTCAAATTATCAATAAGGATAAAAGTATTTTCTACTTGGGCTCTATTTCAAGGCATCACAAAGTTGTGGTCGAGCAGTACTTGGGGTTCAAACAAGGTAAAGTACCATTTGTCTATCTAAGAGTTCAACTTTTTCTGTGACAAGTCTAGGGGTCTCATCTTCAAGCCTTGGAAGATAAACCTGAAGTTAACAAGTTGGAAGGGGAACGTTTTAACTATGGTAGGAAGAGTTCAACTCATTAAATAAGTTTTTCAGAGTATGATTACATATAGTTTCTGTTTATCAATGGCCATCTTCCTTACTAAGGTCTCTTTCGCGATGTAATTGCAAATTTATATGGTCCAGTGACATGACCTTAAAGAAGATTGTCACAGTTTCTTGATTTCAGATTTGTGCATGAAAAAATAAAGTGGTTTGGGGTTGTGCGATCTTTGCTCTCTAAATATTACGGCTCTCTTAAAGCTTGGATAGGTTATTATTACTTTTGATTCTCTATGGAGTATTTATTTTCGAGTGCGATTTCATCTACATGGTCGTTCATACTCTTCTTGTTACAAGAGATCTTCTATATGGCCCGGTGTTAATTCCATTCTCCATATCTTATTTCAGAATTGTCTTTGGGTGATTGGAAATGGTTCTAGTACTTCTCTTTTGGTTGATAAGTGGTTTGATACGCTTATTGTGAAGGTTGTTGGTGCTACAGTCCTTACTCCTTTATGAAGTCTTGACATTATTCGTAGTATGAGAAAATGAGTTATTGCTTTTTTTTTTCTTCTACTTTTCCAGAGTTGGCTAAAGAGATTTTAAAGATACCTCTTCCAATTCATGAGGAAAATGACATGTTAATTGGGAAACCTTCTACATCTGGAGTTTATTTTTGGTTTTCTTATGGTTAGAAAATTGTTCGTCATCGGTTTCCTATTAAAAGTCAGGCTTCCATTATTTGACATCTTTTCATTCCACCTAACTATATTATTTTAGTTTGGAGGATTCTTTTCAATAAGCTCCCCGCAAAGGATCAACTATAGTGACGGGGCATTCGTCTGGTTCCAATATGGCAACTTTGTTACAATAATTATAAATCTATCTAGCATTTATATTTTAGTTGTAAATTTGCACAACTTGCTTGGATTTGGTTTGCAACTCATTTTGGCACTATTTCTCCGCTTACCGGTTCCTTCTCAAATTCATGGCTTGCTTTTATGTCAAAGTGGTTTTCAACAAACTTCGTAATGTCTACCTAGCATCAAGGGTTTTCTTAGTAATGGCTATTTACACTAGTACAAAAAATACTTTGCGTGACGCATGTCCTTCGTCGCGCAAAGTTAAAAACTGTCGCGCAAAAATTAGCCCAACGAACCTTCGTCGCGCACCAACCGTCGAGCCAAGACAGTGACAGCAGGGTTTGCGTGACAAAGAAGTAACATGCGTCGCACAAAACTACTTTGCACGACGCAAGTCCCTACGTCGCGCAAAACTACTTTGCGTGATGCAGTTCCCTACATCACACAAAGCTACCTTGCGCGACGTAGGGAGTTACATCGTGCAAAGACACTTTGCGCAACGTATGTTACTTCTTCATCGTGCAAACCTTTGTTTTTTTATTTTTATTTTTTGGCAAAAATATTTTTTATTTAATTTTTAATAAATATTTTAATTAAATTCTAAACAATAATTAATAAACCTAGAAAAATTATTTAATTATAAAATATATGAAAATGTACATACAAGATGTCCGAACAAAAAAGAAAAAACTACAACAAGTAGTCTTCTAGGTTTAATACATCAAGCTACTGGGTATTGGTTGGAGAAAATGGTTGGAAGGTTGAAGGTTTAGCAAGATTAGGTGATGGCATTGGGATTTGAAGGTTAGACATCTGTTAGGCCCGTAAAATGATGCTCATCTTCTCATCCTAGGCCAAAAACTGATCCGCAATCTGGGCTTCCCGAGCATCCCTGGCTACTTCTTGGGCCACAATTTTATCTTTTAGGGTTTCACTTCCTCCGTCAGGGCAACCTGTCCTTATATACACAAGCTATAAGTCCAAAGAATATTGCATCATCAAAATGGAGCAGTTGGCATTAAACGAATACACAAGCTATAATGAATGCCATACCAAATATTTTGAAAAAAGCTATCAAATAGAGCCATTATAGACGAAACAAAAGGAGTACCACGTTGTTTAACATTTATTTTTGAACTACATAAGTTTAGTATAAACAGATCTACTAAAGATTATTTGTAATCAATTAACTTCAACTTTGAGCGAACAATTATAAGTTGACACACTCCAACATGACTATAATACAACACTAAAGACTCTAGTTTGAATAAGTAAGCAAAGGAGTAGGACACACTAGCTGAAAAATGTGGATGCCACACATTTATAGCAGTTCACTTACATGACTTGGAGGGATGTGCTTCCCACTAAGCAGATCTAGAAGGACAGTGCCAAAGCTATAAACAACACTTTTTGGAGTGACCCTTCCTACAAAGTATGTATTTAGATGTACTTCACAAAAGGGTCACTGAGAAATCTTAGAAGCTGAGCTAAAAATAGCATTCTTAAAAAACCAAGTGGAGTTGAAAGACGAATAGTAAATAAAGATAGATTTTGTTTGACATACAATGCAACAAATGCTTAGCCCAAAGTATCAGTAGGCATGTACTCAGCAACAAGCAGCCTTTCATCCCCATCACAGCAATACCCAATCAAATTTTCAAGCCGCCGATTGTCACGCCCCAGACCCGGGGTCGGTGGAAAAATAACCCTGCTCTCGATGCGCGAGTAAAAGTAAAAGTAAAAAAAAAAAACAAAAAACAAACTTCTCTTATAAAAATAACTCCAAAATCCTTACAGGGTGTACAAAAATAATAAATTAAAAAATCCTTAAACTTCTCCTCAATCACATCCTCGACTTTTCCAATACTTATCTTGCCAATAACATATGTCTTGCCAAATAACTCATCTATAAAATAATAGGTGAGGGGTGAGCAACAACCACCGTTGCTCAGTGAGTAGAATATATAATATGCCAGTCAAGCTTTCCATTTTAATCACACTATAAAATAGGATAATAATATTAAATCATTATACACATAATATCATATCACATCATCCCTTCACGTGTTCATGATATCCTTCATAAATTGTAACTCACCACGTGACCCCTAATGGTCATTTGCCCTAATGTCCCCCTAATGTCCCCATGTGCAGTTTACATTTATCCCTTGGATTAATGCAACACTAAAGTTCGCATGCTCCATGAACATATCCAAATAATCCACATATCACCATATTAATAATTCCAAAAGCATTTTAACAAATCCAACATGCTTGACTTAAAATAGATAGAGATTTATAAATAGATAAAACCCACAATAGTTCGTGGTTTTCATTTATCAGAAAATAAGAATACTTTGAGGCCCTGTTTGGCACACCGTATAAGGCACCGGATAGGACTAATAATACGGTGTACCGTGTTTGGTGACTGTTTGGATTAAATAAGCACCGGATTAAATAATTCAGGCCCACCTTTTTACCCGACGCTTACCCGCTTACTAATAACGTGCAAATGCACGGTATAACTTAGTTGGGCTCAGCGAGAAACCAGTCTTCTGCGCCCTCTCTTCCTCTCCAGGCGCTCTCTCTTCCTCTCATCCCAGGTTCGTCTTCTCAACTTCTTCTTCTTCGTTTGAATCACAGTTCTTTTCAGATTCTTCTTCTAGGATTCCGCCCCTTCTTCTATTCTTCCCCCTCCTCCTATTTTTCTTGCAATTTTCTTTCAATTGATTGAATCTAGTTATTATTTTCTCTTTAATTATGCAATTGATTATGTAATTTTGTGTTTTAATTAGAATTTTTGAATTTTAGGGTTTGCTATTGGGGTCGAATTTAGGGTTTGTTGTTGGTGTTGAACTTACAATTTTAATGATTGGGTAGAGTGGGAGTGTGCAGGTTCACTTACCTAAACAAAACTTTGTCTCTGGTGCAGCCCCTGTTTCACTCACTGTCTCGCAGCCACAATGCAATCATACGGAAACTTGACCTTAGGTATGACGGTGACAACTCTTAACCACACCTGAACTACAAATCTCGTTCCAAATTTTTTAAATTTTTATGTGAATTTTACTTTATATATATATATATATATATATATATATATATATATATATCTGTGTGTGTGTGAAAAATTTCGAAGTTGGGTTGTTGATTTGAAAATTTTCGAACTAGGGTTGTTGAATTGTGTGTGTGTCTATGTGGTAATATTTTCACTATCTAATAATGTTATTTTATATTTTCACTAGACATGGATCAAAGAAAGATTGTGGCATGCTTCATTGTTAACGTGTGGTACTTGAATATTGTGACTTGGTTGATGATGTGGTTCATCAAGAATCATAATTCAGCTAGAAAGCGGAATCTGCAACTTGCACTTAGAAATCGCACATTTGTTAGGAGAATGGTAGGGTCAGCCTATTTAGATAGCATAATAGGATATGATGATGTTCAGTGTGTGAACCAAATTAGAATGGATAGAAAAACGTTCCATTATTTATGTCAAATGCTTCGTGACCACGGTAGAGTAAAATTGGATGGTGTAGTGACAATGGAAGAACGAGTTTGCATGTTTTTGCATATACTTGCACATCATGTCAAGAATCGTACAATTGGGAGTAGGTTTTGTCGATCGGGGGAAACCATAAGTAGGTATTTCAATTCCATTCTACATGGAGTGTTAAGGCTACAAGGTACACTTTTGAAAGTGCCAGAACCCATTCCTAATGCCTACCCAGATCCTAAATAGAGTTGGTTTGAGGTATTCTTCATATTTTATAAAAATTACTTCTAAAATTAATGTAATTAAATATATTGAGCATACTAATGTTAATGATTTTTTTTAGAATTGCTTGGGGGCATTGGATGGGACTTACATTAACGTTCATGTCCTTAAGCGAGATAAACCAAGATACCGATCAAGTAAGGGAGAGATTGCAACCAATATGTTGGGAGTCTGTAATGTGGACATGAATTTTATATTTGTGTACCCAGGTTGGGAAGGGTCGGCATCTAATTCTAGAGTACTCCGAGATGCGATAAGTTGACCATTGGGATTAAAAGTTCCCACGGGTAACAATAGATTATTTGTTTATATTAGTAATTTGAATCCTCATTTTTCTTATATATAGTAATATACATTTTTTTGTGTGTTAGGATGTTACTACCTTGTGGATGGTGGGTACACAAATGGTCCAGGATACCTTGCACCATATAGGGGAGTGCGTTACCATCTCTCGGAGTGGAGAAATAGAAGACTCCCGATTAATCATGAGGAGTATTTCAATATGAAACATGCTCAAGCTAGAAATGTCATTGAGAGATGTTTTGGACTACTTAAGATGCGTTGGAGCATCTTAAGAGATCCATCATTTTTCCCAATTAAAACACAATTTAGGATTATGACAGCCTGCTGCCTATTACATAATCTTATTAGAAGGCATATGTCAGCTGATCCAATAGAAAATGAAATCCTAAACTTGGACGAATGTGAAAGTAGTGATGATGATGAAGATATGATTGAGAGTGTTCAACCTACACAAGAATGGACTGCATGGAGAAACATTTTGGCTATGAATATGTACAATGAGTGGCGTGCACAAGTGTGATTTGATTAAATTTTTTTACATATGCATGTTGTGATTTGGTTATGGTTTGTTATTTGAACAAATAGTGATTTCTTATGTATTCGGTTATGATACTTTATTCGAACAAAGTGTGACCTAGTTATGTATTTATTTAAAAAGTGTATGATTTGCTTATGGTTTTTATCACTTACTATTAATTATATGCATTATTGATTATATGTCCTAATGCCAATATAAAGGAGTTCCACATGTTGTGTATGTAATTGTAGGAATGGAAAGTGAACAAAGTAGTCAACCAAAAGGACGTAGAAGGGTTTGGAAATAACATGAAGAAGATGCATTGCTCTCCATACTTGAGGAGGCAGTTGTTAAGAATTTGCGATGTGATAACAGTTGTTTCAAACCTGGAACAATGGCTCAGTTTGAAACAGCTATTAATTTGAAATGTCCTAATGCCAATCTAAAGGCAATTCCACATAGTGAGTCCAAAATGAGGAGGTGGAAAAAAGATTATGCAATAGTTTATGACATGGTTAATAAAACTGGATTTGCATGGAATGATGTACGAAAGTGTATTGAGGTTGATAGCACTGAAGTATGGCAATCCTATGTAAAGGTAATTCTCTAACATAATACTAGAATTTAACTTTACATATTTGATTACTTTAACATGTTCCTTTACATACAATTTAATAGTATGATTGTCTCTACCAAACCATATCATTTAGCCCCATTCATTATAACAGCTTAATTAAATTAATGGATGCTTGATTATATCAAGATAGGTTGAAGAGAACAAAATAAGATTGTTTGTATTTTATGGATAGTGTGATTTGTTTTCGCATTGCAGGTTAACAAAGAAGCAGAAGGCTGGCTAGGAAAATCGTTTCCATTGTATGACAGATTGAATGTTATTTTTGGGAAAGACCGAGCAACCGGAGTAGAAGATGCAACTCCTACTGAGATGATGAATGAGCCTGAGCACATTAATGAAGATGAAGATGAGGCGGGAGACTAGTTCTCCCTCTGTTGCTCGACGGTCCAGTAGTTCAAGTACCCGGAAAAGGAAGAGAGCTACTAATGATAATGATCTTGCTGTGGCATTTAAAGAAATGCTTTCTGAATCAGTTGATAAGTTGGGTGAAGTTTTACAAGTTGCTTTTGGGAAAAGAGTGGATCCAAAACCTAAGATTGTTTCAGAATTGTCAAAGATGGATTTGTCTATTAAGGATCAAATCAAGGCACTAAATATCCTTTTCGAAAAGCCACATAATGAGAGGACATTCTTGTCTTTGGATGGTGCAATGAAAAAAGCCTTTGTACTCATGTTACTTGGACAAAGTAACCTCAATTGACATTTCAAACCAACAACAATATATTTTGTTAAAAGTTGTAGCATGCATATATTTTGTTAAAAGTAGCATGCATATATTTTGGCTATCTGGACAAACTGTTTCTTACTGAAACCACCTTGCATTTGTATATTTTATGAACTTGGTTATGTGGTTAGATTATATATCATAACGATTGTAGTTGTTTTTTGTGAACCTTCTTTTATGTTATTGGAAAATATTTTGAATTTGATGTGCTTTTCAATAGGTATAAATATGAGAAAAGTTCAACAAACAAAGAAAGATTTGTTAAATTTTTTTTCCTCTTGTCCTATCCGGTTCAGTACCAAACACAATATAAATAATACGATCATTAATCCGATACTGCACCAAACACCCGACTAATTTAGTCCGTACTATCCGGTGACTATTTATCCTATTCGACAGAAATAGTCAGTACAGTTTGAGCTGCCAAACGAGGCCTAAAACACATTACATAAACCACTCACATTTATCGATAGCTAGAACCTCGGCAAGACAAGTACACAAAGAATCTCCACACAACAAACCCTAAACCCTATTTCTTTCTCTCTTTACCTTCACTCCCTTTCTCTACGTTGAACCTTCGATGCATGCTCTACATGTTTCCTTGATATGAGAAAACAATGGAGCATGGCTTCCTATTTATACTAGAAATGAGGAGGTCAAGCTAACTTCTTATTGGTTGGCTTAGCGGCTAGAGATATAACAAATCAATTGACCTTCTCTTACAAGATGCTGCGTGGTAATCTAAATAGGCAGTAGGCTTAGGCAAGTGGCTAGCCAATAACAAGTGGAAATAGAAGATAAGACACGTCCAAGTAAGTAGCTTCACATAGTCACTGTGTAGAGTGCTCACTAAGCAAATATACAAGGAGATAGCCATAAACTGTGGTGTGCCACATTCGAGTATAGCTTCCAACAGTAAGCAATCTAGCTAGACTAATGAAAAGAACACCTTTTGCCCTCATTCTAACATTAAGGTTCCACCTCCTGCTTGCATGATTTTTAAATGGCAGCTCCTACTAATAAAAACATGAATTACAAGACACTTGTCTTATAAATGCAAACTAATGACACCTCCACCTTAATCCTTCCAACTCAAAACCTAGTCATGGTAATGGTGAGGTGTAAATATGCATAGCGACATGCATCACACGTGATGAGCTATGTAAAAACTTATCTTAGCTTCATTCTAAATATAAAAATAATAATAATAGCCACAATACAACTAAAAATACGGGACCTTACACCGATGCTGCAACTTCCCCACACCCCAAGCGTCCTCTTGCAAAACCAAAACCCACAAATCATTCATAAACCCAATTCACAAAACGAACATCTGTAAATTTTACTATAAACACGGATAATTCCTGAAACAAGTGACAAGAATACGTGTACAAAATATATTTTTGTATTAATGATTTTGGGGTTACAATCTCTTTGTAATTTGGTCCTCTGATTCTATCTTCGTAGGGTGTAGGTTTGTGGATGAGTTGTTGATCCAAAGGGCCATCGGGGCTTGATCTAAGGATGAACAGTTGATGAATGGATCTTCAAGGGGCGTTGGGCTTGATCTGGGTGTATGAGTTTGTTGAGGTTGTTGATCCAAAGGGGCCGTTGGGGCTTGATCTTAGGATGAACGGATGATGAATGATGAACACTTTCTTCAAGGGGCCGTCGGGGCTTGATCTTGAGTTGGTGGGAGTTCTTCAAGGGCCGTTGGGGCTTGATCTTGAATTGGTTGGAGTTCTTCAAGGGCCGTCGGGGCTTGATCTTGAAGGTTGATGAATGAGCGGATCTTCAAGGGCTTCTGGGCTTAATCTTGAAGAACGATTGGATGTGTGAATTTGTTGAGGTTGTTGATCCAAAGGGGCCGTTGGGGCTTGATCTTAGGATGAACGGATGATGAGCGATGAACACTTTCTTCAAGGGCCGTCGGGGCTTGATCTTGAGTTGGTGGAAGTTCTTCAAGGGCGTTGGGGCTTGATCTTCAAGGGCCGTTGGGGCTTGATCTTGAAGGATGAACGAATGATGAATGAATCTTCAAGGGCCGTTGGGGCTTGATCTTGAAGGATGAACGGATGATGAACGATGAACGAAGAGTGCTTTCTTGATTCTTCGGGATTTGCTTGAGAGCTTTAGAGTTTCAAGGCTTCTTTCTTTCTTCCTTTCTTTCTTTCTTCCTTCTTTTTTTCTTTCTTCCTTCCCCCTAAAATGAATGCCTTTGGCCTCCTATTTATAGAATTCCAAAACTTGATTTTTGGATTTAAATAATCAGATGAAATAAATCATTTCTGCCAGGTATTGACACGTGTCCTATTTGATGACTTTTCCAATTTATTTCGATTTTTCGTTGAATCACACGCTACATGTAAAATTTATGTGACACGTGAACGTTGAAATTTTAATTATTGGTCAACATTCATTTCACCGAAATTTTGATGTCTACAAATGCCCCCACTTTAAGGCGCGTCGTAGGCATGTGCTTGTCACGTGTAGAAGATGCGTTTTGAAGTCCCTTAATGTAGATGTCAACCCAAGGGCCGTCGAGGCTTGATTTTGAATTGGGCTGGAAATTTCTTCAAGGGCCATCGAGGCTTGATCTTGAGTTCGACTGGAAGATTTTCTGGTTTCCTCCAATCGTTGATTTTCCGCAGGCTTAATCTTGAACTGGGCTGGAGGATTCTTTTGGTCTCCTCCGAAGGTCTGAACTTACTCCTTTTATCTGGAGTTGAATTTGATTCAAGGGTGGTGAACACTTGATTTTGAATCGGACTTGTGATTTCTTCAAGGGCCATCGAGGCTTGATCTTGAACTGGGCTGGAGGATTCTTTTGGTCTCCCCCTATCGTTGATTTTCCTTTGTGCTACTCTTAAACTGGGCAGCAGGATTCTTTTGGTCTTCCCCGAAGGTCTGAGCTTACTCCTTTTTTGATGTTTCTTTGTTCAATCTCTCCAATTCGTATTGAAGAGGGTTAGAAGATAGCTCAGCATATGCAGTTGTAGCTTGTCTCCACATGCTTCAATGCATCATTTTCACTTGCCTTACTTGCTCCCTTTTGCAGAAGTGGTATTTCCTTATGCAGGTTTAGCATCTTCTCTTGTACTATTTGTTCCTGATGCAGGAGTTGAATGCAAACCTTGCATTTGAATGGACCATCACTTCTTGGTGGCAGCGCAAGTTTGAGTGGAGGTTCCAACATATTGCTTTCTCTGTCCTTGTCCTGGCAGGTGAGAACAAGGGCAAAGGAAAAGATAGGGGAAAAGCATGATATGAGATACCTTTGCTTTCGCCCTTGATGATATAAGATACTTTTGCCTTGGTGTCAATTGTTTGCAAGGGCATTCCCGAAGAGGAAGAAAACTGAGCATTTTGAGATGCTTTGCTGGGAGTGTACTCTCGGAGGTGAGGAAGAGTTGGGCATTTTTTTTTTCTTGTTTGCAGGTCTGCCTTACCATAAAAGATGAAGGTCGACATATATAGGGATTTCCTAATAGCAAGTGGTGGTACTGTTCTTTTACCCTTGTCGACAAACGTTTTGATCCCGCAAATCCGGCTTTTTGAAATAGTGACGACTCTTCGATCTTTGAATACGCCTCTTTGATTTCTGAACGACGCCTCTTCGATTTCTGAACGAGCGCCTCTTTTGACAAAGCTGCACGCGTTTTCTGAAAAGCAGAGAAAGCGTCACCGAACTTTGCGCTTGTCGGCTAAAGATGTGTAGCTGCGATGATGACCTCCACGTGATCTTTTGACAAAGTGGCACCCGTGCTCTGAAAAGCCGAGAAAGCGTTGCCTAACTTACGCCGAAAAATCCAGCTTTTGAGATTTGTAGAGCGATGTCTCTTCACTTTTGAATAAGCGGCCCTTCGATTTCTGAACCAACGCCTCTTTGATTTCTGAGCAAGCGCTTCTTCCTTTTTATAGAGGTATTGATCACCTCTAACATGCACACTTTGAAGGTTGCTCATTCCTGAAAATCATCTCCGGCCTTTTGAGTTTTAACTCCATCCACCCATCTCTTTTAACACCTTTGAAAAAAATGGCTAACCCATCGAACCTTAGCTTAGAATTGGGTCTCAGCAGTGATACAGGCGCACCGTGTCAAAGTAACGTATGGCGCCCTTCTTTCTTATCTTCTAACGGTCCTCTTACAGGTGAAGACTCAGTGATGCAGGATGCAACAACAGCTACAATAGTAGCTAGGAACCTCCTCACACCAAAAGATAGTAGGCTGTTTTCAGGACGGTCCGATGAGTTGGCCGTTCAAGAGTCCCTCGCTCTTAGTGTTCAGTGTGCGGGCTCTGTGTCCAACATGGGCCAACGCCTGCTTGCTCGGTCCCGTCAGGTGGAATCATTGATGGCAGAGGTGGAAGATCTTAAGCAGGAGATTAAACAGCTTAAGTACGAGAATAGAAGTTTGCATGTGCTTGCAAATAACTATTCGTCGGGCATGAAGAGGAAGCTTGATGAGATGCAAGAATCTCAAGGTCGCATTCAAAGTGACCGTCAAAGGCTTGCGTCTTTCTTCCAGAGACACATTTTTCCTGCGTCATCAAGCGTTCCACCAAGTATTGGGGCCTCGAATGATCTATCTTCGGTGCTTCCCGCTCCTGGAGTTTGGCCGAGTAGTGGGGCTTCACGTGAACAACCTTTGTGAAGGCTCCATTTTTCTCTTTCTTTGTTAGACACTTTTTTTTTTTCGCACTTGTAATTTTTCGAAAATCAATTAACATACTTCGTTTTATTTAGTGTATTGTGCTAAATACAGAGAAAACATGTACATCACCAAGAATTTTTTTTTTTTTTTT